GGACTGTGAAAGTGTAATTCTGAAACTTCAGATAATATGCAAGTTCAGAATTTTTTCGTGTGCGAATGTTGCAAGTTGTGCAAGTTTGGAACCTCGTAAAAAATCAGTTTCAGCTGCGATTGAAGCGACATTTTTCTAAGTTGCAGTTTATAATAAACTGTTTATTATATCAGTAACATTCTCTCTGAATACAGTTCCGAAAGTTCCATTCCTATGGGAGTTTATATTTTTTTTGCAGTGTTTAAGTTGCGTTTTTTGACCAAACAGTGCATAACAATCACTTTTTTGCAGTGCTTTAATTCTCAATTGCGGCTTCAGGGTGAGCACAGGAATGTTGCAACAGTTTTCCAAACAATGCGCAGTTCAACTGATTTAAAGTTTCCAAGAAACTTAGTCCCTGTGCGTTTCCTTCGGCGTTTGAATGGCTGAATTCCTGCGCCTGCAGCATTTCATTTAAACCGTTTTGGGGCGTGACCACATGCTGAATGATCGCCAAACCGTAGCTAACCGTAACTTAAACGGCCTGTTCGAACATTGACCACGAGATGTCGCATATTGTGTTAAGAGTCGATATATTCAGCGGTTTAGGAAATCAATGGGGACAAGCCCAGGCCGATGGGCGGGCCAAGTAGAATCGCGTTGCCTCCCAGCAATTGATTGGGATTACGGGAATCTGCACGCCACTGTTTATTAGATGTTTTCGATCCCAGCCATGTCAAGTGGCAGGTTTTCAGAAAAACTGACTATTGTTCGTTGGAGTTATTGGGGCCAATAAAGAGGCTTTTATCGATATAATCGACAACACACGTCACTTATCTGCCCTCGTCTCTAATCGTTATTTGCTCAGCACTTGAATTTTATCTAATGTGGCCAACGTTCTGCACGTATGCACCCATTCCAGGAAACTTGAGGTTTTCTACTAAACTTAAATGGATACTTACTGATTCTTTGCGGCATTGGTGACATGGCGGAGCCGTTGTGACCGGCCGTCGCACTCTTAGGGCGTCGCTTCCTCGTCTGGATGCCCTCCTTCTTCATGCTGATTGGTCGGTTTACCTTGAAAAAAGCGGAAAAATACACGTAATTAGGACTCAATTCCATTGGCGCGCCTTTGTTTGCACTGCACTTTGCCCCGTCGATTTTTTCACTCTTTATTCTCGTATTTGCGCAAGTTTTGCGTCACGGCCGGATTACGCATAACTGAAATTGTAAGGCACCAGTCTAATCCCTTGGCAAACATTTCACGGGTTCGTGTTTTTCCAAGCGAACGTATTTGACATGGATCAACTGTGTGGGTTCTTGTGGCGGTTCCACAATTTTAAAGTCACTTTCCGGCGGACCGAGTCCCGAGCGCCTTTTCCGACTTCGATACCTTTGCGGCACAACCTCCGATTGATAACTCCATTCCACACCTTTTAAAAGGAAACCGAATGAAAATTATCTTGGTCCAACGTAACAGATAAAAGAGATATCTTATATTTACCAGAGATTTTTTCGTTGTTGTTATTGTGGGTCTGTATCAAGCGATTTTGCATATTATCACCCCCGGTGGATAAACTGATATAGCAGCATTATCATTCCAAGATACTGTGTATCACGACAAACATTGGGCATATCTTAGATTAGAACCTACTGGAACAGACGTGGTGTCTGGCCTATCCAACCCGTTATCTTCGCCTGCTATTTCGACCTGCCTAACAATTCCTATCGATTACCAAAACGATCGCTCTTCATCTCCCGAATCTTCCGCAAATCTGGCCAGAATCTACGCAATACCCTGTATGTCCTTCAACCACTGAACCTGATCACCCTCTATGTTGTCCACCGACAAAAACCGCATCCCAATATCAAAACTCGTTTGCAAATGATTTAAATATACCTATTTCCATTTCCATTCATAACTCGCTTTAAGCATCGCAGTTTTGCCTAAACAGCCTCAGCTCAAAACCTCTATAAACGCCCCAGATTTCAAAGACTGGGTTTAAAGATAGCGATTTTCGGCCTCGCATGAAAACAGATTTAGAAGAAGATTTCACTCATTTTTGCCTCGTTTAGAAGAAATTCTGATCACTAGGTTTTAAAGACAGTTTACTGGATCTAAAGATAGGAAACTAGTCGACGTTTTTAGAAAGTGATTTGTTGTGCAAGTAACTGGATTTAAAGACTCCATTGAATTTGCCCCAACCACAGCTCAAAGCCTTTAGGATCAACAGGTTTTAAAGACAGTCGAATTTAAAGAAGAACAATTGGCGACTTTCAGTTCTAGATGCTTAAAAAGTCCATTAGTTGCTTCTAAATGGATTTATAGATCTCACTCACTTTTACCTAAAAACACTCATTTAGAAATAAAACAGATCACTAGGTTTTAAAGGCAGTAGACCGGATTTAAAGATAGGAAACTATTCCATTCGTGAGTCGACGTTTTCAAAAAGTGATTTGTTATGCAAGTAACTTGATTTAAAGATTCGATTGATTTTCCACCAACCCCAGCTCAAAGCCTTTAGGATCAACAGGTTTTAAAGACAGTCGAATTTAAACAAGAAAAATTGGCGACTTTCAGTTCCAGATGCTTCAAAAGTCCATTAGTTGCTTCTAAATGGATTTAAAGATCTCACTCACTTTTACCTAAAAACACTCATTTAGAAATAAAACAGATCACTAGGTTTTAAAGACAGTAGACCGGCTTTAAAGATAGGAAACTATTCCATTCGTGAGTCGACGTTTTCAAAAAGTGATTTGTTGTGCAAGTAACTTGATTTAAAGATTCGATTGATTTTTCACCAACCACAGCTCAAAGCCTTTAGGATCAACAGGTTTTAAAGACAGTCGATTTTAAAGAAGAAAAATTAGCGACTTTCAGTTCCAGATTCTTAAAAAGTCCATTAGTTGCTTCTAAATGGATTTAAAGATCTCACTCACCTTTAGTTAAAAACACTCATTTAGAAATAAAACAGATCACTAGATTTTAAAGACAGTAGACCGGCTTTAAAGATAGGAAACTAATCCATTCGTCAGTCGACGTTTTCAAAAAGTGATTTGGTGTGCAAGTAACTGGATTTAAAGATTCGATTGATTTTCCCCCAACCACAGCTCAAAGCCTTTAGGATCAACAGGTTTTAAAGACAGTCGAATTTAAAGAAGAAAAATTGGCGACTTTTAGTTCCAGATTTTTAAAAAGTTAGTTGCTTCTAAATGGATTTAAAGATCTCACTCACTTTTACCTAAAAACACCGATTTAGAACTAAAACAGATCGCTAGGTTTTAAAGACAGTAGACCGGATTTAGAGATAGGAAACTAATCCATTCGTCAGTCGACGTTTT